ATTCCAGGATTAAGTAAAATTGGTAGTGAAGTTATTCATTTAGTAAAAAAATTGCCAATTAATAAATCCTTTAACATCTACATGGATAATTACTTCACCATTAATTTATTCAAATACTTAAGAGATGGAGGGATTGGTGCATGTGGCACAGTTTATAAAAATTCAGCCAAATTTCCCAGTATATTAAGACCAAAGGAGAAGATGAACTTAACTTGGAATATGCTTTCTGGTGTTGAAGTTGATGAAGTTTTGGCTCTTTTATGGATATATAATGGTCCTGTAACAATGCTTACTACAATTCATGAAATTACAGGAAAAAATTCCAAAATTGCTAGAATTCATTGTTGCCCAAGAATTAATAATGTAAATGAAGAGCCATAACTGAAGTTTTTGGTGATCAATCAAAAAAACTTATGGATATTCCTGCTGTAATTGATGATTATAATCATGAATGGAGTTGATGTGGCAGATCAATTAAAAAGTTATTATTCAACACAATTAACTGCAAGATGTACTTGGGTCCCTTTATTCTTTTGGTTGCTTGACACAGTTATAATTAATTCTTATTTAATTCATAAATGAAGTAACTTAATAGCCAATGATTTACCTCACAAAGTCTTTAGATCTCAATTATTATGGGAGTTGATAGAAGATGCTTTGAAAGAAAAAATGAATTTAGGGATATCAACATGACACAGTTAACAAACCATTCCTAATTCCTCTCTTCTGAGCCAAAAATTACCTCACGTAACAGCTAAATCTCAACCTTCTAAAGATAGATTAATTACAGGTAATCATTTTGCAAAGTGGAGAATGGAAAGACTTTCATGTATGTTATGTAGATACTTGTTTTTAAAAAGTGAGCAAAAAGCTCCAGTATATAATTTTTGGTGTAAATTATGCAATGTCCCATTATGTTGCAATAGTAACAGGAATTGCTTTAAAAGCTATCATGAAAACAAAGATATTTATTTAAATAAAGAGTAAATTGTATGAATTTTCTTTATTTGTTAAAAAAAAAAAATAAGAAATGTGAAGGAAATTTTTTGTGTGCAAAAATTGTTAAAGTTCAAAAGTTTATTTATAAAAAAAAATACTCAGTAAAATTCTAAGTTAAATCTGTGGTCCTGAGGAACAATAATGGAATAAGTTTTATTGGGTTCACTATACTCTATAAAAAAATTTTAAAAGTTGTAAAAATTTCTTTTAATTTTTCCAGAAAATAAATACATATAACTATTACACATCACATGGATTATATAATTGAAAAAAAAAAATTACGAAATAATATAAAGTTTTCATTGAACTAGATAAAAAGTGATTTTTAACTTTCAATTGTCACATTTACATGAAATTTGTGCTATGGTTTAAGGGATAATTCGAAATTTCTTTATTAAGGAAGATCTGCAGGTTATATAAGGAAGGACTGTTTTCTTCCTTATTATAGGGTCCAAGGCTTTAGAAATTCAAATCGGATATAGTACCTTGAAATTGGTGTAAATTTCCATATGGCCAGCAGGCCATAAAACTTTTGTAAATCGTCAAAGTCACTAATTTGCTTATTTAACCAGAAATTTTAGAATTGCAAATTCAGTAGTTTTAGCATCAAAAAATAATATGTCCAAAAAAGCTCAAGTCTGCTTTGCAATCTCAAGAACATAACTTGCATTCCCACTTATCTGGAGCCTCAGAAATCTAAATTTCTCCATAACTGCCTGCATATAATAATAAGTTGTTGTGTGAAAAGAACAAAGTGACTGGAATGATGGCATCATAGCAACCCGATTTCTGGGCACATTTCAGTAGCAAGCAATTTATGAGACTGTTCTATAATCTATTTTCTTTGAGAACATAACTCTGAAAAGGCAAGAGGCAAGCATAGATTTGCATAACATAATAACCACCAGCATGATTTTTGCAAAGACCAGGGTGAGTGGTCTTACCAGACTTTACAAGGAATGTGATTTTTGACCTCCAATTTTCATGGTCTTCAGAGTGACCATCCACGAATTTCATCAGAGTTATGTATATAATTGCAAGTATAATCATCAAACATGCTAAACCAGATAATTTATACTTTAATAAAGATCCAGGTAAATGATATATAATAAAAATATAGATAGTATAATCAATTAATCAATAAATTAATTATTCAAAAATGGTAGATCACAAAGATATCAAATCAGCATTAATTGAGGTAACTGATGTAGCATACAACCAAGGTACAACAAACTTGCAACATCATATGTAGGATATCTGAAAACATTACAACGAAAAGAGATTCAGATGATATGTTGCAAAACAACGTGTTCCAGATGAGATGAAAAATTAGCAGATTTTAAATGAAGAAGTATATGCTAGTCTTGAAAGTTATATAAATTGTATTTCGAATTGGCTGGCCAAGAAGAGAAAGATCTAAGGCAGAAGTAAATGAAATTCTTTAGAAAATTCATGACTTGGAATTGTCAAAAAATCCATTAGGTGAATGCATCGTGTATACAGAAATTATGAATAATTGTTCACAGATGTTTTATTTCAAAGAAATGATGTCGTGTCAATGTCACATGACTACTGCGCTCACATGATTTTTTTGGAATTTCTTAAAGCAAAACGATATGCAAGAATAATTGTGATGATTTTTAAAGTGGATTGAAAAATGCGGTTTCAAAATCATTGGGACATATTAGGAAATATACTAGACACTCTTTCGTTATATTGATGTATGCTTGTAGGGATGGCTTACAGGTGAACAAGTAAAATTTGCAATTAAGCAATATAAATCTTATGGAAAAGTAACTCACAAAATTTTAATAATGAAAGTAATAATTCTTTGAATAGAAAAGACTTGATCAAACAATGTTACACATATATACTTATTGAACTAGATTTTTTTGTAAAAAGTGAACTAGTTTGGAGGGTAAAGAAGGTAATAAAATGAAATTCAAATTAACTTGGTTTGATTAAAAAGGCTAGTAAAATCATTATTGATCTGAGTGTTCATGCTTTGTAAAATAAAAATATTAGGGCAGACCACAAGATATCAATAATGATTTATTATAGAAGATAATGGAATTTTGAAAATTCAGCCCCAGAAGCATTTGAATTGTGAATAAATAGTTTAAAGTCATCAGAAGCAGAGCATATCCTTCCCACTAATAAGTATGCTAATTTAATTCTCAACTATAACATTCAAAGGTGAAGGTTTCGATAAAAAATTGTTGATTATATTAACTTATATTTCGAAGAAGAAAACAAACTTCCAGAGAAAAAATCAAACTCTTATTGAATTCTCAATTACTATAACTATCTATCTTATATGGAATAATTTAAAAAGTCTGGAACAAGAAACAAAGATCACAATCATGTGGCTATTATCGAAGGACATATTGTCATTACTCATGAAATTCTTTTATGGCATGCCCCATATAATATTAATTAGTTGTTTATTAAAATTTTAAATTATCTATCATTAATATTATTATTATTTATCATCATCATAATTAACTAATTATTTTAATGCGTTAACATAAATCTTTTTCTTTCGATTCAATTCAATTTAATAAAGCGGAGATTGACATTATATTAACCCTATTTTTATTAGCATCAACATCATCTTTATCATGATTACCATCTTCCTCGCTATATATATTAAGTTGTGGTTAGATATTTATTTGATGCGAAGAAAGATATTATTAGTTTGTTTGTTAAAATTTCTTTACCTTGCATTTTTAATAGCTAGATCGGCAAGTTGTTCTAATGCTGATGAAGAATGATAATGAAGACGATGAAAATGGATAGGTGGTCTTGGAGAAGTTACAGGGGTTAATAACGGAGTTACTAATTGATGATCATTTGGCATTAACAAACAATCTCCGACATATTTAAATTCATAAGAAAAATTATTATTATTATTATTATTATTATTATTATTATTATTATTATTATTATTATTACTATTATTATTATTATTATTATTATTATTATTATTAAGGGTTGGACTAGAATTAACACTAATATTAGGTGTTCTAAGAATGAAATTATGACTATTATTGGTAGTGTTGGTGCTGACAGTGGTGATGGCGGTAGATTGATGATGATTCAAGGGAATTTTTTTAAATTTTCGTTTTTTCCGTTTTTGTTGTTTTTGTGATGTATCTTCTTTAAAAAATATTTATAAATTTATTAAATTGAAAAAAAAATTTTTCGATAAATTAAAAAAAATAAATACCACGCTTTAATATACCTGTAATAAGATTATTACCATCATCATCGTCGTCGTCGTCATTTAATTTAACTCGTTTCGTTGATGTTTCAATATTATTAATGTTATCATCATCACCACATATCACCAAAGACTTTGTACGTTTTTTACATAAAGAGGAATAATAACGATTTTTGATAAGATTGGCCGGCCGACCTAATAAATGACCCATTACGGCCCATTTTGTTCCCATTTCTGAATAATAATACAATATTAATTCGTCTTCTTTAGGTGTCAATGGACCATATATTACTAAGCAAAGATTGTGAGGATTAGAATTATATACACACATATATATGTATGTATGTATGTATATATATTTTTGGAAAGGAAGGAAAAAATCCGAAAAAAGAATCTTTCCGATATTATAAGCACTTACAATTGGGATTAAGATGATTATGCCATCTAATAAATAATATATTAAATTGAAGGAAACAAAAAAACAAATTCCTTTTAATACCCGTTTCTATTTCCACAACTATCAACCATGAAAATGTAAAACAAATGAAAAATACCTTTCGCGACATTGCTTTCCATCTCTCAAACCGTGTTTTATACCAATTAGTTTCCAATGTTTAACTCCCAACTCTTTTACAATCGATAGCAACCTTTCATCTTCCTATAAACGATTTTTGTCAGAATAATAATATTTATCAGAATTGTATTTATGAGAAAAAACTAACATATGGTTCCCAGGGACCCGTCCTGCGGGTAGAATTATCATTTGAATTATTTCTGGTTTTTCTTTGGTTTACCATATTTTTTTTTTTTTTTTTTAAATTTGGAACGAAAAAAAAATAAAAGAAGGTGAAGGTAAATTTTCCATATAAAAATTAAATAAATATATGAATTTATTTATTTAAAGATGAGATGAGAAAGGAGATGGAGGTGGTAAGTCGGGACAAGTTCTTTATTTTTTTAAAAAAATAGTTTTGTTTTTCTTATTCTTTTTTTTCTTTTTTAAAACTAGAGAACTTTTTTTTTAAATCTTTTTTGAAAATGGTGATGGTGTTGGTATTGATGACGATGGACGTGTTTTTATACGATATATATATTATTTATTTTGTAATAATTTATTTTACTTTATGATAATTAAAATTTTTTTAAAAATAAATGATAATTGTTTTTAACGCTTATATTATTATTATTAATAAAATCCCTGCATCTCTCTTCAAGATTTCTTTTGTGGTGAAGTTCATAAATGGTAGATTTTTTATTAATCAAATCTATAAATAATAAATGGCTCCTAGTTGTTTGTTAGTCAATGTGAGAAGAGAAAAAAAACGAAGAAGAGAAGATTTAAAACTGTTGATAATTCTCTATTGTTGATTAAATGAATATTGATGATAGAAATGCAAATGCAGATATAATTGTGGTTAACAATAACATAAAAGTGTTTGCGTGAACGGGAAGGAACAAATAAAATATTTTACCGTTGAATGAAAATGAGTTGATTTTTAATTTTATTTATTTTTCTTACATTGTTGGTCCATTCCGGTTTAATAATATATCTAATTGATAGCAATCGATAATTTTTTCTTCTGATTGTACATATAATTGGTTCACTTTGTAAATTTTTATTATTATCATCATGTTTCTTAATTTAGGGATTTGTTTTATTTCTCGTAATCGTTCTCGGATAATGGATTTTATTAATACGCACAATGATGAAAGGCATTAATATTGATATTAATCGTAAATAAATCACAAGTTATCGCAAATTTGCATCATAATCGTAATCATCAGCTTTATCACTTAAAAATTCATAATAATAATAATAAAGAGCCGTTTCCTCTCGTTCTTTCATCTTCTCATTAAAGTCCCATTGATCGATTGGTCGGTCAATCGGTCGGTTGACATCCTAAACTTTTTCTTCTTCTAACAAAACAAAATCTATTTATAAAATATAGATATTGAAATGGTGTTATTATTGTATTTAAATAAGCAACAATTATTATATTTATTCAAATTTTGAAATTCAATAATGCACAACATCAATAAGAATCTATTGTCCAATATGATAATTAAGGAGGAAATTACAAATTAAAAAAAAAAAAAAAACAGAAAAAATAAAAATAAAAAGTATAATTTGACAACATATTAATATATATAAAATATACAAAGTGCAAATGCTTGCTATAATATCCATCCATAGTAATAGTATTAACAGCCTGTCTAAGAACTTGGATGATGATTACGATTATAATTACTTCGTATTGGTGTTACTATAATAATAAATAAACGTTCGAGTTACGTATTTTACTTTGGAAATTCATCAGTGATAAGTAAGGCTATTTATAAATTATTTAAAATGTTCACCATTAGTGTTAAAAAATCAACAGTAAAAATCATTATAATTACCATGATAATTAATTACCAATTCACGGGTTGAAGGAGATCTGAAAATTTTAATAATTTGCTAGTATAAACAACATTTGGATGAATGAATTTCTTTTTTTACAATAATCATGTTCATCTAATAAAATCTTTAATGCACCATTCCAGAAATCAAGGTCCTTCGAATTTGATGAAATCAACACCTTTGCGTTGGATGTTTATGGTTTTGTTTTCTTTAAATTGGGGAACAAAGTAGTTGATTTTATTATCTCCAGTTCTATTGTTATCACGTGACAATACCAAATCTAACGACGTCGCTATTATTACTTGACGTATGAAATATATTGATTGATTGGTTGAAAAAGATGACACAGTGCTCCCTATTCAATTAGTTACCGTCATTTACATATAAATATTATTTTTTTTTCTTTAGAATTCAAATAATAAAATTTTTTTAAAAATGGCATCAGCGATTTTTATTTTGGATTTGAAAGGAAAAGTGTTAATTTCAAGAAATTATCGTGGTGATATACCAATGTCAGCTGTTGAAAAATTCATGCCTCTTGTTTTAGAAGCTGAAGAAGAACAACAAGCTCCTACGCCGTGTTTTACACATGAAGGCATAAATTACTTGTATATACGCCATAATAATTTATATTGTATCTTTTTTATTTATTGTATGATTAAGAGATACTTGATTGTGTTGATTAAAATTAACAATAAAGGAAAGAAGGAATGGGTTGATTTAGTAATTTTAAAAAAAAACTCTATATTATTTGATTCCTTAAGAAATGCCTATATATATATATTTTACTTTAACCATTGATCTTATATTAAACAGTATTAGCACTAACAAAAAAAAATTCTAATGCTATCACAATACTATTGTTTCTTCACAAGTTAACAGAGGTAAATAATAATACAATATTATCACAACAAATATTTCATAGATGAAAATATTTTTATTCATAAAAATTTCAACAAAATGTAGGTTTTTACAGAATATTTTAAGGAATTAGAAGAAGAATCTATTCGTGACAATTTTGTAATAATTTATGAATTATTGGATGAGATGATGGATTTTGGTTATCCACAAACAACTGAAACAAAAATCTTACAAGAGTAATTAAAATTAACTATATCATTCGCATATATATTTAAATATATTTAGATAAATAATAACAAAATTAATATATATACATACAGATATATAACTCAAGAATCTCATAAATTAGAGATCCAAGTTAGACCACCAATGGCTGTTACCAATGCAGTATCATGGCGGTCAGAAGGTATAAAATATAGGAAAAACGAGGTATTTTTGGACGTGGTTGAGTCAGTGAATTTGTTGGTCAACACAAATGGAAATGTATTGCGTAGTGAAATCCTTGGTGCGGTCAAGATGAAATGTTATTTGAGTGGTATGCCAGAATTAAGGCTTGGTTTAAATGATAAAGTGATGTTTGAGAATACTGGAAGATCTCCATCAAGAGGAAAAGCTATCGAAATGGAAGATGTTAAATTTCATCAATGTGTTCGTCTTTCAAGATTTGAAAATGATCGTACCATTTCATTCATACCACCTGATGGTGAATTTGAATTGATGAGTTATCGTTTAAATACACAGGTTTTGCCCTTTTTTTTTGATCTTGAACATCATTGATTATTTTTGTGGCTAAAATTTAATAAATTTATAAACAGGTCAAACCATTAATTTGGGTTGAAGCTCTCATAGAGAATTATACTGGTTCAAGAATTGAGTATATGATCAAAGCAAAAGCTCAATTTAAACGTCGTTCAACCGCAAACAACGTTGAAATTTCTGTCCCCGTTCCCGACGATGCTGACTCACCAAAATTTAGGGTAATTATTAAATTTAAAAAAAATCTATAATCTATAATCTATAATGTATAATATGAAAACAATCACATAGTAATTGTACATCTATATACGCTTATATGTTCTTATAATATAGAGTTCAATTGGTTCAGTTCAATATGCACCAGAAAAGTCATGTTTAGTATGGAAAATTAAACAGTTTCAAGGTGGCAAGGAATTTTTAATGAGAGCACATTTTGGGTTACCCTCTGTTAAAAATGGTAAATTTATAAAAAAATTTTTAAATAATTTAATTGAAGGATATAAATTTTTTTTCTAATGAACATCTACATACGTACTTTGTTTATATAAATAGAGGATCCTTCTCAAAAACCTCCAATTGGAGTAAAATTTGAAATTCCATATTTTACAACTTCAGGAATTCAAGTTAGATATCTTAAAATTGTTGAAAAAAGCGGATATCAAGCATTACCTTGGGTTAGATATATTACACAGAACGGAGGTAATTTGGTCATTTGTTCATTCTCTGGAAAATTATCATTATTTTATTATTAATTAATTGTTTTGTTTTATAGATTATCAATTACGTATGCCAGAAAGTATTAAAAACAAATTGACACCAATTTGATCTAGATACCTTTAAACAAAATAAATATTGTTTTAATTAATTTTATTTATTTATTTATTTGATTTTAAAAAATGTTACATTACTAATAATATTGATATTTATTTTGTAAAAAATATATATACACACGCATATTATGATAGAAATAAATTTAATAAGTTTAATAAATATTATAAATCATTAAATCATTAAATAATGATACCGCGAGTAGACAAATACACTTCTATTATTATTATTAACAAACAATATGCAATAAATTATTAAAAGAAAATTAAGAAGGATTTTTATTTGTTTATTCACGTAACAAATAAATCAAGTATTCAACAATCCAAGCTCAAGGTATTAATACTCACACCTTGAAGAAATTACAACTGTTGCAAAAAATATAAATCACCTAATTTATAATAATGACATATCCACAGGCTTTCCTTCTATGTGGTACTATTGACATAAAGAGTGAAATGTTTGATGATTTTTGGATTTCTAAATCATACAACAACTATGTATAAAATTGTAATCAAGGAAAAAGGAAGCCGGCTGTCTTAAGAATGTGCTGTGTGTTCTGTATTTAACTTAAACAGTGATAAGGTAGACTTTACAACTGGTTGATATAAATCCAAGCAAAGTAACTGGCTCAGATGTAATTAAAGAACAAGATTAACTTCATTCAACTTCACGTAAAAAATCTTCCAGAGAAGTGTATACGAATGGGAAACTATTGTTGTAAACAACTTTTCAACACGTCCGAAATCTCCTTTATAATTTGAATTCTTCTCTCTGTGTGAATCAGAACAAAATCTGAAGTTGGCTTTAGGTCCATGATTTCACTGCATGTCATTTCATTGCTGGTATTGCCACAGTATTTCTGAAAACTATTGACCGAGTTGTTGTTCATCATTGTTGCACTTCATTGAGAATATTCTCACTTTAGATAGATTATCAATTAGTTCTAATTTTTTTCGGTTTGAATATTATGGAACGACTTAGGCTCACTTGCTGTCTTTTTCTCTTTCATCTTCATTCTCTGCCTTCTTTGGTCTCATAATTATCGTCTTTGACAACTGTATCTAAAGAACATTTTAGATTAGAATCCTGCCAAAGAAATTACGTATATGTGAGTGTGATGTAAACGAATAAATTAATTATTCTATTCATTGAACATTGTATTGTATTTCATACCAATCTATTTAAAGCTTACAAACTTGTTTCACATGAACGTTCTTCTAAAAGCAATTATAATCTTTATCATTTAATTTGTCATTTCATTCCAATATAGTTTCATGATGGTCCTGAGCACATTTCTAGCACCATGAATTACTGTGCGAGCAGTTCGTATCTAATTAGGATATGCACTCAATACATGCCGGAATGAAACCCAAATTAATGGAAATGGAATGAATCTTGTCCACTTGTAGATTTGAATCAACAACGGGTAACTCAATGCCATTCTAAAACGTCTGGATACACGGATAACTCTGACGGTGACCCTACAGTAGTTTAACTTGGGAGCAGTAAGAAAAAAAAAATAACAAATAATTAGTAATCGGAATGGTAGGAACAAACAAAGCTGGAGAAACTGAATGCTGCCCGTAAGGCAGTTGTATGTACAAGAGGAGCCTTGTAACCCGATATTGCGATACACGACGAAACGTCAGAGGGTTAAAATGTTCCTAGTCGCGTAACCACGTTTGGGACCTCAGTTTGATTGTATATTTTCTGAATCAACATTCAACAGTTGCTCGAGATCAAATGTGTCTCTTTTTGGAACAAGTGAGCGGAATCAGGCTGCCGTTAGCGATATCACAGAAAGCTGAAATGTTACATAAAAGTAATCAGTACATTTAGGCATTGTTGGATAAAATTTTTAATTTTATTATTGTATTCGTGAGCTAAAATTTAATAATTTTTTTACGATACCCTAAAAGGTCAAATTTATAAAATTCGCATAACTTAAGAATTTATGGATAAAGGTGATTTTTCATTCAAGTATTATTATCCACGAGTATATAATTATTGCGATGGAAAGTGCACATAATGCTATATAAAAAATTATTCTGAGCGTCATAATTACTTTGTATACCAATTTTTTTCTTCACGCATTAATATGTATGCAAAAGACCAAAACACAAAACTACATTAACGAGCAAATGTCAAATTTGATGGTGACTGTGATAGTGTTGCGACCCGTTAAGACCTTATCCGGTAGTTAACGGATCACCGAGTTGTAACGGGTTAACATTAAGAAATTTTGCATAACTGATAATAATAATAATAACGGGTTGTTAGCGGATTATGGTTAGCTTATTATTATTATTATTATAGATTTGGTGTTACAATCCGTTAATCCATTAACAATCCGTCAACCCGTTAACTCGTTAACGATAATAATAATATCTTACAATTAACAATCTATTGATCCGTTAATATTAACAACAACAATAATAATATTGATTTTTTTATGCTGAATTGAGGACTTTTTGACCATGTTTATCTATTTAATACATTATGAATTCTACCTATTACTATTAAAATAAAATTCAATATCACAATCTTCCAATCCTTTGAAGAAAATATTATTTTTCAATGAAAAGAAAATTTATAAACAATACAGCCTAACCTCTCTATAACGAACACTAAGTAAAATCTCTCTATAATAACGAACTTCCCTTTTGTCCCGATTCAATTTTTTATAATTAATTTCTCTCTTTATAACGAACACCTTAGTGAACTCTCTCTATAATGAGAAAAATTACATATAGGGGGGTTCGGTATAGAGAGCTTAGGCTGTATAGGGAAACAGGTAAAAGAACGATTTTTTTAAAAAATTTATGTTCTTAAATCACAACTTGAACAATTCATCTCCAAATTAAAAATAAATGTTTTTATTTATTAATACCAATCCGGATGAAAAAATATCCTAACGGATACAATCCGGGTCGTAACACTAACTGTGAGATTCAAACTCACGCCTCTTTCGAGACAGCAACTTGAGTGCGGCGCTTTAGACTAACCCGGCCAAATTATCAAGTTTATTAATTACTATATATACTTTTTTTTAATATGCAGATTGTGTAAAAATTGATTGATAAAAATTTTTAAAAATAAATTTTTTTTAATCCAAATCTTTAAAAAAAAAAAAATTATGATGTCTTCAACACGTTCTGTTTTAAGCTCTTTATTAAGGACCTCAAATATTATTTTAAAAAATCAAAGGCCTGCTGTATTTATGAATAGATCGTTTTTCACATTAACAAAAAATTCAACTTCTATCGTAAGGAATGCTAATAATGTTGTCAAGGTGGATATATATATTGGTAGATTGTAATTTATAAAACTTTGGATTTTTTGTTAAATTTGTATTCTAAAAAATATGATTGATAGATCATTGGATGCAATAATTATCAACAATTATTTAACACTACTCAAATTCGTAATGTTAAAACATTAAATTTTGGTGGTACTAACGAACAAGTTTATGAAAGATCAGATTGGCCAAAGGAAAAATTCCAAGAATTTTTCAAAAATGATACAATTGCAGTGATTGGTTATGGTCCACAAGGAAGTGGTCAAAGTTTAAATGCACGCGACAATGGCTTGAATGTGATTGTTGGTGTGAGAGAAGGCGGAAGTAGTTGGAAAGAAGCATTGAAAGATGGTTGGGTAAGTTATTATTATAATTAACAAAATCAAAAATAAATGTATTAATTAATCAATTAATTCAAATTCATAGGTTCCTGGGAAAACGCTTTTTCCTATTTTAGAAGCAGTCTCAAAAGGAACAATTATTCTTGATTTATTGTCGGATGCTTCACAAAAAACACTTTGGCCTCAAATGGCTTCACACCTGACTAAAGGAAAAACATTATATTTTTCTCATGGTTTTTCAGTAGTTTATAAAGATCAAACAAATGTAATACCACCAAAAGATATTGATGTGATTTTAGTTGCACCCAAAGGGTATCTAACTTATTTTCTTATTATGATCATTTGGGAGGTTGGAAATTTTTTTATAATAAACATTTGTCACTTATATTAATTTTAGTTCAGGTAGAACTGTTAGATCATTATTCCTCGAAGGACGTGGCATTAATTCATCTTTTGCAGTATTCCAAGACGCATCTGGAAAAGCTAAAGATAAAGCTGTTGCGCTTGGTGTTGCTATAGGCTCAGGTTATCTTTATGAAACAACTTTTGAAAGAGAGGTGTTTTCTGATCTTGTAGGTGAACGAGGTGTTCTTATGGGTGCAATTCAAGGTTTATTTTTAGCCCAATATGAGGTTTTAAGAGCAAATGGTCACACACCTTCTGAAGCATTCAATGAAACAGTAGAAGAGGCTACACAATCTCTATATCCTTTGATTGGCGAAAATGGAATGGATTGGTAGAGTATTGTTATACATATATATAAATTAATAAATAAATTTTAACAATATATATTTCTATTTTAAAGGATGTATGCAGCATGTTCTACAACAGCTCAAAGAGGTGCGCTTGATTGGTATAAACCATTTCACGATGCCACAAAGCCTGTATTTGAAAAATTATATAAATCCGTTGCTAACGGAACAGAAACTAAAAGATCTTTAGAAAAAAATTCTTCACCTAAATATCGCGAAGAATTAGAGCAAGAATTAAAAGAGATTAGGTAAAAATTATTGTATTATCAAATGTTATTATAATAATATTCTTTTTTTTAAAAAAAGGATTTAATGATTTTTTTATTTTATAGGGAAAGTGAAATTTGGACAACTGGCAAAACTGTAAGAAATCTTAGACCTGAAAGAAAGAAATAAAAGAAACATTCATGATCATGGTCGTGACTTAATCCTAATCTATACATTTATTATAAAAGAATCTTTTTTTAATTCCAAGCTATTTGAAAAAACATACATGTATAAAAAATAAATAAATAAATAAAATATAAAATTCATCGATATTAACGAATTCTTCTAAAAAAAAAAACATCTTTTTGTACTTCATTTGGCTATTCGGTTTTTTTTTTGATGAAAGTCTAATATTATACCTAACAATGATTTCTTTTTCGGTGATTTTTTACTTTTTTCTATTCTATAGTTTTCACGATTTCATTAATGGTGTGATTGAGCTGGCCATATACACCTTGATTTTAAAGATCATACCATTAAATGTAAAGATCCACACAATAACTTGAGGCTATAGTTAAATTTTTCAGCTGGGAAGATATTTCAAGCATCTGGGCTTGCTACTGCAGCAGTGGTTTATGTTTTGGCTGCGTAGCAGCAGTTGACCGCAGGTTGGTGGACGTGATTGCATTTATAGACAAACAAGCGACCGACCCCAATCCTACTTATGTATTGCGTAACAATATAATATAACGCTTTTCCGTCAAAATTCTTCTGCAACCATCAGAAAATTTTTGTCGACATATAACGATGACAGTTAACAACGAAATAAAAAATTCTTTGGTTTTTAAATTAGTGGAAGAACAAGAGGTCGAGAAAGCTTTCCAATTAGAGTTAAAAGGTTGTTTAAAATAATGGATTTGTTTTTATTTTATTTTGTTGTTATTTGTTACATATAATAAAAAAACTACAACTATAATAATCATTAATAATTATGATAATAATACTAAAAGGATATCCTATTGAAGAAGCTGCAACTTTTGAAAAATTACAATATCGACAGAAACATGCTCCAAATTTATTTCTAGGCGTTTATTGTCATAATAATGATAATTATAATGGTGATGGTGATAATAACAAGGATTCAATGCAAATGAGAATGATAGGGTTTGTAGTATCAACTTTGACCAGATCTAAAAAACTCACTGAAGAATCAATGTCAACACATGAATCAGATGGTAAAACAATTTGTATTCATAGTGTTTGTATTGATAAAAATTATCAAAGGCTAGGAATTGCTACAAGTTTATTGAAGGAATATATTGAAAGAATATTATTATTAAATAATAATGATGATGTGAAAAAATTACATGAAAAGATTTGTTTAATTGCTCACAAAGAATTGATACCTTTATATGAAAAAGTAGGATTCAAATTGATTGGTGAGAGTGAAGTTGTTCATGGTTTGTAAAGATGTCTATTTCTTAAATTGAATTAATTATTTAATTATTTTTTATTAATTAATTTAATTTTCTAGGAAATGAAAAATGGTTTGATTTGGAATATGAATTATAAAATTAATATTATATAAATATATTAATGTTAATTAATCCTAAAGGTTCAATTGTTAACTTTATAATTATGTACATGTTAATGTTCCAAATAATAAATATTCATAGAAGTTTAATTTATTTCAACTGATAAAAAATACGCCTGTTATATGTATACCATAATCCAATACCCAAGTCCATTTATTATCTAAATAATATATAAAATCAATCAATCATTCATTCAGTCAACCACCATATCTAACCAATCTGTTGCTCTCTTCTCTCAACCATCTTTTCAAAATGGCATTAAACAGTTCACAGATTGGTTGTCCCATGAAAGTATCCTCTTCCAAAAACTATTATGGTTACAAATGCCACCATGCTTGCTAAAAGGTGATAATGTTATATATGCAAATATGTATTCAATTGGGTTAGTTGAACCAAATTTTACATGTATTAATGATAATGAAGTTAATGAAATATTATTTGACATTTTCCTTTATTTTAATAATTATTTGATCTCACATTATCCTGTAAAAATGAAAAGGTTTTTTTTACTTAAACTTTTCAATAAAAAAAAATATGAAAGACAATAAAATATAAAATGTTCTTTTATTATTTTATTGGTAACATGTTGTAGTGAATGATAGAACAGAAATTTGATTTCAAACAAGAAACCTTTGGTCCAATTCAAATACTCCCTATGCCTGTTCTTTGTTACATGATCAATCCTAATTTTTATATACCTTTGATTTTATTGGCTCCAATGACCCTCCCCCCAATAAAATTTTAAAGGTAAATTTTAATTATTTTTTTTTCATGATCTACTTTATACCTTTTAATTTTCATTAATAGAAACAAATATCTAACACAATCTTTAGACAATATAAATATTGAAACATATTATTACGGAGGCTTTTAATTGACAAGATCCTAAAGAGTATGGAAGCATGGAATTTTATATATATAATCTTCAGAAGCTACAAACTAATATAATTTTTTGTATAATTGTTATTTATGTTTTGTGTTAGAGCAATTAAAGAATTCCATTTTTAAACCAAAAATTTAGCATTTAAGAAAAAGATGTGAATAATTAGCTTTGCAAAAAAAAAATTTGGCAAAATTTTTTTTATTGTGATAATCATTTTGCTTTTGATTAAGGCGAAGTAGAATCACATGACAGATCACTTTTTAATATTAACCAAAATTCTAGCCAGTCCATGTTATTATTAACTATTACTATTATTATTAAACAAATATTATTAGTATTAATGAATTAATTAATGGGTTAATCTATTATTAAAAATAAATAAAAAATCTAAAGTGTTAATTAAAATATAAATAAAAATTACAAAATATAAAACATAGTTTTATTTATGTTTACGTGGTTTAAAGATAAGAACTATAGCTAATCCCAAAATAAGTAACAACAACAATATAATAATTTTTCGATTTCTTGATTTTTTTTGATAGCCTGCACCCTAAAAATTTTATATAAACATAAAATTAATTAATTTAAAATTAAATTCATTTCATTTTTCATCTCAATATATGTATAATTAATTACTTGTTCTAAAACTTTAGCTGCTGATCTGACATTAACACTCATTTGTTCAACATTATAATCAATTCGATCCAATAATGTTCCTTGATCAATCACAAGGGATTGCATATTTTTAAAGATTGTTACCAATGAATTTATTGACTTTGATATTTCATTTATTTCATGTTCTCTTTGTGAAATAATTGCCTCTGAAGATTCAATAAGTTCAAGTTGTTGATCAGAAAATCCCTTTAAAAAAACATTATTATTATTAATTATTATTATTATTAATTACTACAATGTAAAAATAATAAAATTTTACCAATTCCCAATTTTCTTCAATTAAATCTATATTTTCTGTTGCAAATAATCCAGGGTTACGATTTCCTCTTAATTTGAGTTCTGAAAACCATTATTTGTATCAATAAATTTTTAATTTTTTTTAACAAAAACTCACTCATCCACTCTCAATCAAGATTTACTTACTTTTCAGATAAGCTGTTTGCATCTTCCTAAAATCTAATGATACATTTTGTATTTTTAATGCTAATGAAGTTTGAATATTTTTGCTCAGAGTTTGTTCTTGATTTGACCTTGTTGATGCATTATCAATTTGTTTCACTTTTCTTTGACATTCTTGGAAAAGCTATATATGCAAATATAAATATGTTGATTAATTAACTGATCAATTAATTACATGTATATATAGGAATATGTAATTTTACTTTAGTTATTTCATCTGTTAATTGTTCCATCTCTTTTTCCTCTTCAGTTCTATCATCAAATCCTGGGAGTATATGTCTTTTATGGAGCTCCTCCAATTGTGGAACTAAAAAAAGGGCAATATAATTAATTCATAATCTTTATATTATAATAATAAAAATTAAACCAGATTAATTACTAAGCTTTTTTATTTGATTAACTAATTCATCCACTTCCTCCACTATATCTACCCTAGAAAACATTGAATTAAAAATGAAATGAAATAAAATATATGTATAGAGAAAAAAAATTTATCAAATGAAAAATAACTTTGATAATCATTAATTTTAAAAAAAATGAAGTATAATACCATCTTGGTGGTAAAATGGAAAGCTCTATTACATGTTCTGAGCTTTCTATTAACCCAATATTTTCATAATTATTATTATAAGAATCAAAGGTAGGATTAATATTTGATGAAGGTCTTAGGTTATTAGATCTCGTAAATGCATCACGATACTCTAGAAATGTGAGTGTATGGTTTCTGGTTGTCATTCAAAAGTTTTTTTTTGAAAAAAATTTACGCACTAATGCATTTGTGAAACAACCCTTATAAATTTGGTTACACGTTTGTTTTTATCACCATATGCGGACGATTTCCAGGTAGGTCTGACCTTTATCCCTGATAAATATAAATGCACGGATATATATATATCTCTGATCACCTGATTCGTAGATCTTGAGTGAATTATCCGACCAATACCCAAAGATTGATAAGATCGATAAGGGGATATCCCTCTTATATGTACACTCCCCTACCATAAATATCCGACCACCTGATGATCATTTTAATAATCGGAAATGTTACGTCTTATGCAGTTCAAAATTTTATTAATCAAACCGGGACTGGTGCATTAAGTAAACATGTTTTTAAAAGTTAATTTGCA